CACATTTAATTTGATTTTAAATACAATTGAGCAGTAATATTGTAAAATATTTTTAGCGACTCATTTTCAGTATTACCTTTTTTTAGAAGTAATAATTGAAGTAATATTTAGTAGATAAAAATCTTTTTAGACGTAATAATTGAAAAACTGAATGTAATCTATAGCTGATTCAAAGAAATATGAAATATCAGAGAAATATGACCTTTGCAACTAATTAAAATAATTAGCAGTTTGGAGTACTAAAATTACCAAAGCTAAAACCGAAATAAAAATAAATCTAAATGTCAAAATAGAAACAAATAAAAAATTAAGTTCTATAATATGTAAATAAAACTGTAAGTGTATAAGTAACTCTTTTTATATAATGGTGTTTATAATACTAAATGTTTAGTATTAGAATATTATTTTTAATATTAGAAAATATTTTTTCCTTTCTTAATGTTTTGTTGTTCGTTTAGTTCATTTATCTAGAGTTTTAGTATATTTAAGTTTTAATAAAAAAAACTAACTTTTTAAGTCTAATTGGAATCAGTTGACAGGAGAATTTATTATTATTATTACTCATTTTAACTTTGTGAGTCAATATTACTTATTTACACTCAAAGATTGTTTTTGTCCCTCCCAAAACATAAAGTAAATAAACATCCTTGTAAGTTTAGGTTGTGCTGGGCCAACGAATACCGGTGTTTATTTTTCTTATGATATAAATTTTTAAAGCACCACAATACCGGTGTATGTCGTTTAAACAACGTTTGGAACGCGACACTGCTTGAGAGGGGTCTCTTTTCACTGGTGCACTGTGGTGAGGACACAGCTGTATGTGTTACTAAGCATGAAAGTTCTGGAACTGAAGCTGTAGAACGTGATAACAGAAGAACTCATCCACAATATCCACACTTCAGCGACTTTCAGACCCTTTTAGCGGCTTTTTTCCCCCATACAATATACATACTGACAAATCTAGTGACTTTTTTGGATAAACCTTAGCTATGGTTCAGTTGGAAGATGTCTGCAGTGCTGCCCCTCCAGCGCGAGGTCTGACTGTCCCGGTGCAGTATCGCCTCTCTCGGCGTCTGTTCTGTGCAGTGAGTGGCAGAGAAGCAGCGCATTCAGTTGACTGTACCGCAGCAGACTCATCAGTAAATGTTGCTTACTGACTGTTTGGAATTATAAATCTAAATATAGTTTGTCTGTTAATATTATGCACTTTTTTGTTTCTTTTTTTTAGTTTGTTACTCAGACGCAGGCTATGGAATCCCGTTTCCGCCACAAAATAAAAAATAAAACAAGGTAATTGCGACTTTTTAATCTCGCAATTCTGACTTTTATAACGCGCAATTCTGAGAAAAAAAGTCATAATTGAGAGATATAAACTCAGAATTGCAACTTTATATGCACAATTCTGACTTTTTTTCTCGAAATTGTGAGTTTATATCTCGCAATTCTGACTTTATAACTCGCAATTGCGTGTTATAAAGTCAGAATTGCGAGATTAAAAAGTCGCAATTACCTTGTTTTATTTTTTTATTTTGTGGCAGAAATGGGCTTCCATAGCAGGCAGTGCGCTGCATGAGACAAAAAAGTAATGTAGCCAAAACCACCACATAGCCACTCTTTAGTGTAGATGCATGTTGATTTTATCAGATTATAAATGAGTGACTCCTGGATAACATGCATTAATGGGTCGTGTTTAGTCACTATTTAGTGTGGAATTTTTCTACAATATTCACTCATCATGACAGTAAAATATAGCATTCTAAAGCCCGATTCGGATGGTAATTGTTTCTCATATGGACGTCTGTACAAATAAATTTACATATCAACTCATGGATTCGGATGGCGATTTATTCACAGTGGAGGAGCGAGTTCTGTGATCCTACAAACCTGGGAACGCGCTGCTCACGTGGCCAGTCACATGATTGTCTGCTGTAATTAAAATGTATTTTATTTACAAATGTATTCTTATTATTGTGTAAAATTTATTTTAAAATACTTATTATTATGTAAAATGTATTCTTATTATTCCAAGCATATTTTATAATATTTTATTTATTATTTTATCATTTAAATCTCCTGTTTAAAAATAGGAAAATAGACGCACTATAGTTGTATATAATTATACGAAATATATATCTATATTATTTATAATAATACACATTTTAAAATTGTATTGCATACCTGCTGCTGCCACAATAAAGACCCATTTCGAATGTTTACGTGCTTTTCTTCTCTTTCTGCTCTCAGACGCTGTGGTGGAGCAGTTATGAAGTATTGTTCTTTTAAATACTTTTCAGCATTTCAGAAATAAATATGAATGCAAATTACACCGAAGTACAACGTTACCTTACAGTGTTCGGGAGTGCACAAAAAGGGTTTAAACACTGAATTTTGAATCGATTTCTTCTCGTAAACTCAGAAATGTGGATCCGGATGACAATTAAATTACCACACGACCTAGGTGTTTGTCATAAAACAGTAGGTAATTTGGCGGGGGGGTTTTACGGGGGTGGTGTGAGGAAAAACACAGACATCCTGGATTCGGACAGCATTAAAATCACCAACTACCCCTTGTAAATGAGAAACTATTACCGTCCGAATAGGGCTTAAGTCAATCGACTGCAGTATTTCCTCTCTCAATCAGTAGAAAATGGGGTTAACACCCAGTCATGCATGAAAAAAAAAATACCGCCATATACTATGCTTGCGATAACCGGTGTTGCGGCTTAACACCACTATCACCGTCTATGTCACTTGCCCACCGCAGCACCGACCCCCACTGTCAACCCGACAGTCGCATCACAGATCAGATTTAATTTCAAGTGAGGAGAGTGAGTCAAGCTGACTGACAAGAAGAGTGGGGTGAGACAGACAAGACGATGGCGGATGATTTTGTTTCAAAACGAAATGCAAAAGCGCCTGTTTGGCAGTATTTTGGATTTTGAAAAGCCTGTTGACTTTTGCTGTTTATCTAAGATGATTTTGGAAGTTTTTTTAAACATTCGTTTCTTATTTAATTGGTTCCACATTGTTTGCTGATTTTTACTTTACTTAAACTGTGTTAAACTGTGTAAACTGTGTTTATTTGTTTGTTTTTTTTACATCAAGGTGTATGCCGTGCCTCCAAGCTTTCTTACTCGTTTTGCTAATAAACGTTCTACATTTCTTATTTATTTGGTTATATATTATACATGTTTACTTAGCCTATTTCCAGTTTGTATACCTATTTAAACTTTATGCAAGTTATTTGTTATTTTACATTAGGCATAGCCTGCCCTATAGCATGGTGTATTTTTATTTGTTTTGGTAATAAAAGTCCTATGTTTTATATATAGGCTAAAGTGAGTTTGACGTTGTATTTTGTTGTTGCATTCAAGCAATTGACGCCAAACTGCTGCTAATTCAAAAGTGAAAGTAAAATGCACAAAGTCCTTTTTAGCCATTTAAAAGCAAAGGAAAGTGAGGAAAAGAGGGGAAATTCAAACAAACTAAAAATGTTCATTTGCTTTACGCCAAATTGCCGCTATTTGAAAGTGAAAGTAAAATGTGCACGCTGCTTTTACAAGCTATTTCAACGCGAAGGAAAGCGAGGAAAAGAGGGAACGCCCCCGCCCCCGCCCCCGCGGTGATACCGGTATTACCGGTGTTGTCACACGTTGATTAACCAGTGGGAAAATTTCCTCACCGTCACAACCCTATCATATACCGTGAAACCGGTATGATTTTTGAAAAATACCATGATATAAATTTTTGGTTATACCGCCCAGCACTAAGTTTAGGTTGAAGTTTTAACAAATGTTCAGGGATATTATACGTGGTCTTGTTGATCACTTGACAGATTGAAATGAAGAATCTTGTATGAGGAGAGAGTGAAGAATCGCTATTAATAGATGAGTGTGTGTGTGTGTGTGTGTGTGTGTGTGTGTACTGGTTTATATATCCTGGTGGGGACTTAAACCTGAATAAACACAGACTCATGGGGACTCGTGTCACGGTGGGGACCTAAATTGTGGTCCCCAGGGGTACAAAAGCTTATAAATCATACAGAATGAGTTTTTTTTGAGAAAGTAAAAATGCAGAAAGTTTCCTGTGAGGGGTAGGTTTAGGTGTAGGGCAATAGATTTGTACAGTAGTACAGTATAAAAACCATTATGCCTATGGAATGTCCCCACAAGGATAGCTGACCAGACGTGTGTCTGTGTGTGTGTGTGTGTGTGTGTGTGTGTGTGTGTGTGAGAGAAGTGGTGGATATCCTGCCAGGTGCTGTCTCCGGTCCTGACACCGCTGACATTCCTCATCCTTCATGGATTTCCTCACTTGAGGTCTTGCCATGGGCGTGATTGAGTGGGTGGCACAGTTTCTAGCTAGAGCTACAACCCCCCAATCCTTCATGCTTACAGTTTAAACCATGAAACTCACATCTAAACCCTCCGCTTCACCCTGCTGCTGTTTATTTTGCAGTAACAGCCATTATCGCTTGCACACAGATACGTGTGATTAGATTGTGACGGTTTTTCCCAGTGATCTTATGATCTATAAGAGCACAATTGGTGCGGCGTTGGCGTTGTTGCTGTGACTGTGTGAATCTGCTATTCGTAGCGACTGCATTGCAGAAGCCATGGAGAATTAAATGAATAAATCAGTGCTTGAGCACCTCAGGTGGCTTCGGTGGATGACAGCAGAGACGTTTTCCCAGTCCTTTCTTCTCCTCAAGCCTATAGCATGGGATTGCACCACCTTTGTTGTTTTCTTGTCTGTTACATAACGTGTAGGAAGATCATTTACACACTATGGAGGATTTCTGAATGCTTTTACGGATGTTAAGCGCTGAGACTCCTTCAAAGACATTACAGTGTGTGTAACCCGCTTGGTTTTATGAATGCATCCGCATCCTTTAAGCCGGGTGGGAATGGAACCAATTAAACTTGTTGATGGTAATCTAGCGATTTGTGTTTTTCTCTATTAATCTCCTTCTTTCGTTTTTTTTCTTTCTCTCAATACAGAGTGCAGCAATGGAGGAGACAGTGATATGGGAACAGCACACTGTAAATCTACACAGGGTGAGAATTTAATCGTCTCTTGATTTGTGTCTGGAATCCCAGTATAAACACTTTTTTGTTTGATCTGTGTAATATCTCTATTCTTAGGAAAAAATCTCCCAGAATTAACAGTAGAATCATTCAGATGATATTGTCTTGTTTTTACTTGTCAGTGAATATCTTGGTTATCTTATATTATTTATGATAACAGTGTGTTGTATTGTGTTCCATTAACAGATTATTTCCACTTGTTTTAAAGACCTTGTGAAATGCAAACTCTGACTAGTAAAAGACAGAGTTTGATGTAAACTATTACCTTTTGGCTAACCACTCATCAAACATATTTACAGGATCTTTATGCATAAGTGGGAAAAAAAATCAGGAACAAGACGAAATACACTTTTGTAAGAATTATGAACAATTTAGCTTCTCAGGTAAATGTATATTGTATGGTTATTTAGAAGTTTTTGATTTGTAATATTTAGGGTTACTCCATAATAAAAGTTGCTAAATGCATTTGGAGGAAAAGCCAAAAATATATATGAAGGCACACAGATAATTTCAATAGGAAATATATCAAAACAAAGAAACCACTTAAACACTTTTATGGGGTCTTTCAGCAAGAACAAGGTATGAAAATCTGCCAACTGAACAAGACAAACAAAAAAAATCACATTGTTGGGGATGTTGTTGGGAGAAGACTTTATCACATTGATTTAAATAGGATAATCTTGTACCATATTGACATAAAAATACAAAGAGATTGAAAATATGTCATTCATTGTTATTAAAAACATGAAGTGCATTAAACATAAATGTTTCCCAAACTGGCATCTGTAAAGAAACTGTAGGGAGTTTGTAAGTTTAACGAAAAGTGAATAATTAATTATAAACAAAGATTGTAAAATAAAAATAAATAATTTTTAAAACAACAACAATCAAAATGGAACACTTAATAAAAAAACATTGCATGTTCTCTTTGTTTACCTTGCAATTAACCAATATCTAAGAACAGAGAACATGCAAATGTATTACAACCCTCTACGCACACCTTGGAAATATAATCGCCATTGGCTAGTAAATTTTTTTGTTTACTCGCCAGACGGATATACTATTTCACACACACACACACACACACACACACACACACACACACAGTGTGTTTACTTAGCTAATGGGGACATTACATAGACTTCGATTGTTTTTATATACAGATAGTTATACACTTTTTAACCTAAACCCACCCCTACCCCTCACAGAAAACTTTCTGCATTTTTACAATTTCAAAAGTAAAAAAAAAACTTTGTTTACTTTATTTTTTATAACAGTTTTATAAAGAAGGACATCCACAAATTGAGGTTTTTGCCGATTTTGTCAGGTTTTGCTCACTTTAACATACTTTCCAGAAGGCCAACAATTCACTAAAAATGTTTTTTTTATTGGTCTTATAAAGTATTCTAATTTGTTGAGATGAATTGGTGGGTTTTGTTAAATGTGAGCCAAAATCATCACAATTAAAAGAACCAAAGACTTAAACTACTTCAGTCTGTGTGCACTGAATTTATTTAATAAATTCACACTAGTTTACGGTACGTCAAATATAGGTGCGCTTCATGCTACATACTGCGCATCCATGGAGTACATGACATGATCCATTGAGTGCATCTAAATAGTACAGATCGCTTGATGGAGAGCGAAACTCTCAAGCGCTCAGTTAGCGTGTTTATCGAGTGAAAATCTGTGTTGAACGCCTCTCACACACATACTGGTGTGTAAAATCTAAGAATTTATTAGCCAATGGCTAATGTTAGATATTATTTAGTCGCCCAGAGTAAGATTTAGTCGCATATGCGAGTGATTTACTCGCAATGTAGAGGGTTGTGTTACTTAATTATTAACTTGTTACTTTAAATTCTCAGGGGGACTTCAAGTAAATATATTAGGTGGAAGAGGTTTGGCTGATTAAAAAGTATGGGAATCCCTGCTTTACATGAAAATAAGAAATCAAATAATTTTGTGTTTTAATGTGTTTGAAAGACAAAACCTTGCCTATGACAAAGACTTGTGTGAATAATACGTAATCATGTAAAAAAGTAACTGTAGTCTGATTACATGTATTTTAAAATGTAATGTACTCTAATTACGACTGCTTAATTTTTGGAATCTGATTACATAATCCAGATCCAGGAGATACCTCAAAACACGAAAGAAACCACTCGTCAAACACTTTTATGGGGTCTTTTTAGCAAGAACAAGACATTTCAGGTAAATTTAGATTGTCCGGATATTTCGGAATATTCACGGGACAACAGAGCAAACATTTTCAGTGTTACATTATTGGGTTACGCCCTAATAAAAGTTACTAAATATGTTTTGGGGAAAGTTAAGTCACTTTTGTGTGGTGGCTTTGTCGTGCACGCCGAAAGGTCAGAAACCTCTCTTAAGATGCGTAGATGCACACGCTTAGCCAGCGCCTTGCAGCCATGCAATGCCTTTGTACTGCTGACCAGCTATGAACATGTCGACAGTTTTCATTGACTACAAACTGTTGATCCACCATGACCACAGTTGAGAAGAGAAGACACTACACTACTGTGCATTATATCAGTTATCTACATTAAAGTTTCACTTTATAGCCATACTGAAAGCAACAACAGATAGTTTACCTCAGATCTTGAAAATAAATTAAAGCAAACCTGTACGTTAAAATTGTGACCTCAATGCGAACCAACAAGCGTATTCCATAACAAAGATGGTATCAGTCACTCAGAATGTACATTTAATGATGTTAAAAAGGTTTTTGAATTAGATTATAAATTTTGTTGCGAGTGCAGTGCACTTCCAGAGAGAGCCCGCCCACACACGCTTTTGATTGGCTGTGATATTTGATTGATTCTGTCGCGTCGCGTCTAGTGTGGACACCCAAATTGCTTGTCGCTAGAATCTTGTCGCGTGTAGTTAGGACACGGTGTTATCATGGTGTCATTTCAAAAAGCAACACATTACTTTATAATACCTAATAATTGACATTACCTGTTAGCTATCACTGTTAAAATTGTTTAAGTGATTCGTTTAAGTACTGTTGCAGACTTGAGGTCCGTATTGTTTTTCTCTTCTTTATATCTGTGATGGGATCTTTCTATCTCTCCGCCCTTCTCTGCCCTCTCTCTGTATCTCTCTGACCATCACATCCCCTCATTTATCTTCCTCCTCTTCTCGTCCCATATCTCCCATCTTATCTTTTCATTCTGTCTCTCTCCAGCTCTTCCCGGCTGTTTTGAATGTTTTGGTTTCCCCCTCGTCTGTTTGTTAACTTGTCGTTGTGTGTCTCACAGGCTCCGGGGTTTGGCTTCGGGATCGCTATCTCAGGCGGGAGGGATAACCCTCACTTTCAGAGCGGGGAGACGTCCATCGTCATATCTGATGTGCTGAAGGGAGGCCCAGCCGAGGGCCTGCTGCAGTAAGAATCATCTCTGACCCTCTTTACCATGAGAATGCCAGTTCAGTTCCAGTTGAATTTGATACATTTTGATCAAATCGAATGAAATTCAATGTTAATATCATGATTGCTGAAAGAGTAGTTTGTATTAAAACATAATTTTTAGGAATTACCCTCATAGGTGTTATGGGTTATTTCTAGGGATGCACCGAATGTTTGGCAACCAAAATTATTCGGCCAAAAATAACAAAAAAGCTCTTTTGGTGTTCTGCAGAATAAGCGAAAAGACTGAATCAATTGTACCGAACAATGACGTGACGTGATCAAATAGAGGCGTGCACTAATGCAGCAAACATGTCGGCAGTGTGGAAGCATTTAAAACGGTTTGAGAAAGACGCAAAAATCATTACAAGCACCGAAAGCAAGAGACCGTTTAGTGCTGCATCTCATGTCTCGGATGAGAAGAGGAAGGGGTGGTTACTGTATGATGATTGAAATCGCGAAATGGCCTCATACAATTAGTAAATAAACTGCAGAATGTTATGTTTTCTAATACACGCACAAATTGCATGTATTCAAACAGCGCTGCATGAGCTCGCGAGGAAATTCTGTGCTGTGTTACTCGTCAGTTGCTCAGTAACATTTTTATGAATTTTTACAAGGCATGGATGTGGCAGTGTGATACGTGCAACAAACATATTCCCAAATTCTTAATGAGAATCATTTATAAATCTGCTGTTGTTAACAAAAAGAAGCATCTAAAATAAAAGTTTTTGTTTACGTAATATATGAGTGCGAACTGTGTATATTTATTATGTATATATAGATACACACACACATGCATGTATATATTTAAAAAATATGTTACGTTTATATATTTAATATATTTATATATAATATAAATTATATGAATATACATATATACATGTAAATATTTTCTAAATATATACTGTATGTGTGTGTATTTATATATACATAATAAATATGCACAGTGCACACAGATATATTATGTAAATAAAAACTTTTATTTTGGATGCATTTATTCGCTATTAATCGTTTGACAGCATTATTTATTACATTAATTAATTTATTTCCCAGAATGCTCTAATTATGCCAGAAATTGTAATCATTTGATTATAGAATAATATCATATTCTTATATAATATATCTTCTTCTTTTTTTTTATTAAATAAGCTGAAAACTGCTCTTCACCCTTATGGAGTTTCTTAGCATGTAAACGCATGAGCGCACAGGGCTGCTGATCAAGCTTTGCTCCATCTTGCGCTGAGATCAGTTGGAGTGGCACTTTTGCTTACCGCTTTCTGCTGTCTTTGTCCCCGGCAGGGAGAATGACAGAGTGGTGATGGTCAACGCCGTCTCCATGGATAACGTGGATCATGCGTATGCAGTGCAGCAACTTCGGAAAAGTGGGAAGAATGCAAAAATAGTATGTAGGCCCTTTTCATTTTCATTTTGCACTTGTAAAGAGAGTTGATTTAGAAACACATTGGAGATGAAAAATGTCAAGACAATTTTTTTTTCATTTGTCATTTTGTTTAAAATGTAAGTAAAATTTATAAAATGTGGAAGCATTTAAAACGGTTTGAGAAAGACGCAAAAATCATTACAAGCACCGAAAGCAAGAGACCGTTTAGTGCTGCATCTCATGTCTCGGATGAGAAGAGGAAGGGGTGGTTACTGTATGATGATTGAAATCGCGAAATGGCCTCATACAATTAGTAAATAAACTGCAGAATGTTATGTTTTCTAATACACGCACAAATTGCATGTATTCAAACAGCGCTGCATGAGCTCGCGAGGAAATTCTGTGCTGTGTTACTCGTCAGTTGCTCAGTAACATTTTTATGAATTTTTACAAGGCATGGATGTGGCAGTGTGATACGTGCAACAAACATATTCCCAAATTCTTAATGAGAATCATTTATAAATCTGCTGTTGTTAACAAAAAGAAGCATCTAAAATAAAAGTTTTTGTTTACGTAATATATGAGTGCGAACTGTGTATATTTATTATGTATATATAGATACACACACACATGCATGTATATATTTAAAAAATATGTTACGTTTATATATTTAATATATTTATATATAATATAAATTATATGAATATACATATATACATGTAAATATTTTCTAAATATATACTGTATGTGTGTGTATTTATATATACATAATAAATATGCACAGTGCACACAGATATATTATGTAAATAAAAACTTTTATTTTGGATGCATTTATTCGCTATTAATCGTTTGACAGCATTATTTATTACATTAATTAATTTATTTCCCAGAATGCTCTAATTATGCCAGAAATTGTAATCATTTGATTATAGAATAATATCATATTCTTATATAATATATCTTCTTCTTTTTTTTATTAAATAAGCTGAAAACTGCTCTTCACCCTTATGGAGTTTCTTAGCATGTAAACGCATGAGCGCACAGGGCTGCTGATCAAGCTTTGCTCCATCTTGCGCTGAGATCAGTTGGAGTGGCACTTTTGCTTACTGCTTTCTGCTGTCTTTGTCCCCGGCAGGGAGAATGACAGAGTGGTGATGGTCAACGCCGTCTCCATGGATAACGTGGATCATGCGTATGCAGTGCAGCAACTTCGGAAAAGTGGGAAGAATGCAAAAATAGTATGTAGGCCCTTTTCATTTTCATTTTGCACTTGTAAAGAGAGTTGATTTAGAAACACATTGGAGATGAAAAATGTCAAGACAATTTTTTTTTCATTTGTCATTTTGTTTAAAATGTAAGTAAAATTTATAAAATACAAAAATGCAAAAAAAAAAAATGTTTACATTTGTGTTGAATTAGATAAGTGCAAATTAAAAGACCTACTTTAATTTATTTTGCACTAAAATGCATAAGAGAATGTTTTAGAGATGACACAGAGATAAAAAAAAATAATAAAAAGTGCCCAAAAATCGAGTTTGTTGGGAATAATCACGTCTGTTTCTCGCTCTATCCAGACCATCAGGAGAAAGAGGAAGGTGCAGGTCCCCATGGGACGCCCGGGTGAACGCGAGACCATGTCGGAGCATGATGAGGACAATGACAGCTACGAAGACGAGATCTACGAGGCCCGGAGCGCACGGAGCGGTCCGAGTGCCTACAGCGGGGGCGGAGCCACGGGCCGGAGGAGTGGCAGGGGTGACCGGCTGGGCGGGAGGAGGGACCGAGACAGAGAGCGCAGCGGCTCCAGAGAGAGGAGTATGTCCCCACGCTCAGACCGCCACTCTGTGTCCTCCAACCTCACCCCACGCCCAGCCAAGGTCACCCTCATCAAGTCCCGCAAGAATGAAGGTGAACATAACGCTTCGACCCTGCCGACCGGTGTCGCCCAATCACTTTGTCTTACCAATTATAACACTGTTGTTTCCAAGCAGTTTCACATCACTAAAGGCTCATTCTCACCAACAATGGTAACTATAGCAATAACTAATATTAGCATCCACATAATGTTCTGGCTATTATAAACTATTATATCACCTGACGCTTTAAATGCTCGAGCTCGTTAAAGTTGGATGGATCCTGATTGGCTCTCAATGTTTTCGTAATTCATCAGCTGGAAAAAATTGTTCTGGAAATGATGCCAACGATATCGTGGCATCGATATCTGTGTCGCTATTGTTATAGTTGTAGGATGGACCACACTGCAACTTTATCGTTATAATTATCGCCCTTGGTGTGAACAGCCCTTATGACGCAACGAGTTTCCAGCTGGTCTGCCCACTGTGAAAGTGAAAATGCTGCATGAAACAACATAATCACATATCAATCAATCAGTAAATAAATAAAAGTCAGAGACTGAAAAGTCTAAAAAGGATTTTAATTAGCACTTTTTAATCTAATTTGAATATTTTCAAAATATACATAAGTCTGATATATTTAAGTGAGAAGTTAATTTGAAAAATTACAATAAAAAATATATGATTATAGTAGATTAATAAATAAAAGTCACCGCCACTGAAAATGATTTTAATTTGCACTTTTAAGTAAATAAATAAATAAATAAGACCAGTTTTTAGATAATTTCAAATTAATTATACTTAAAAATAAATGAAGAGTTCATTTGCAAAAACAGAACATTTAAAAATGGTCAAAAATCATGTTTATTTTGTCCTGCATTCCAATTAATATCAATCAAACTGCAATTGGGTTGCTTTGATTAAATAATAATAACCAAAATTTAAGAAAATTAATAAAAACAGAATTGTCTGTTTTTGCAAATAAACTCTTCAAATACATGATCTAATATGTTATATAATCAACTGTTTACATTTTTGGAGTAATTGGAACATTCTGTGAAAAAGTCTTTCACCGTGATCCATAAAATTAATAAATTTGATTACATTTTGTTAAGTAATTAGTGCACTCTGTGAAAGAAAATATTTCATATGATGTATAAAATTAGTAAATTTCAAATATTTTTGAAAATAAATTCAGTGTACATTGATTTCAAAAGTCGAGGCCACTAGCGAAAACGCTTCTAATTTGCATTTTTCAAATTGAATACCAAAGTTTTTAATATAAATTAGATAAATTAATAGTGCTGTCAAGTGATTAATCGCGATTAATCACATCCAAAATAAAAGTTTTTGTTCACATAGTATATGTGTGTGTACTGTGTATATTTATTATGTATATACATATATATTTAAGAAAAATTTTACGTTTATATATTAAATATATTTATATATAATAAACTATATGAATATAAATATATATACATGTAAATATTTTCAAAATATATACTGTGTGTGTATTTATATATACATAATAAATATACACAGTACACAGATATATTATGTAAATAAAAACTCTTATTTTGGATGTGATGAATTGCGATTAATCGTTTGACAGCACTATAAATTAATAAAATCTGTGATGCTTTTAAGTTCACACTTTTCCAATTTAATATGAATGTTTTCAATACAAATAATATCAAGTCTGATAGATATAATTTATATGAGGTGAATTAAAAGTTGATTTGAATAATCACAAAAAAAAGATACAAATATTTGTTTTAATTTCGAAAAGTGCAAACTATTTTTTCACTAGTGCTCTCAGACTTGTGCTTTGACACAGTTTAACATTTAGGCCCAATGACATTTTGCTGTCTTTATAGCTAACATATGCTAACATTGTGTATGTGATTCTGCGTTTTACTCTGTAAGCAGAATACGGGCTTCGCCTGGCCAGCCACATCTTCGTAAAGGACATTTCCCCCGAGAGCCTGGCAGCCCGAGACGGAAACATACAGGAGGGAGACGTAGTGCTCAAGGTAAGAGAAATGAGCACCTGTAGGGGAGGGGAAACAAATGGAAGGAGAGAAGAGAAGAGAGTGTGTGAAGTGACATATTTAGTGACGTGACGAATGCAGACTTTTGCTAATGGAGATGTATGATGTTGACATCTTTTCTTTTGTTTACTCGTCATCTAGATTAATGGCACGGTGACTGAGAATCTGTCCCTGATCGATGCTAAGAAGCTGATCGAGAGGTCAAAGGGCAAGCTGAAGATGGTGGTGCAGAGAGACGAAAGGGCGACCCTGCTCAATATCCCAGACCTGGATGACAGCATACCTTCAGCTAATGCCTCTGACAGAGATGGTGAGAGAGTCTCTGTACAGCACACATCAAAATGGATTTGATTCGTTCTGTTCAATTATACCTTCAAGTGGTGTTTTTAAATATTTAGTGGAAAACACAGTTTTACAGTTAGTATGCTGTTACTTTCATTCACGAAGCAGTTGATCGGGTCTACTTGGTAAAATAATTCTAAATTATTTATATATTCAATTTTTTTTTAGAATATCTGTTTATGCATTTGGATTTAAATGTGTTTTTATCAGTGCCTTAAAAAGCAAGCTAATTGTGTGGCATTATTATTTTCTCATTGAATATATATTAAAAAGTTGTTATTTTTATTTTATTTTTTTTACCCTATTGACACTTTTTTTTATTTTTTAAAGCATATACCTCTAGGGAAATTGTTGGAAACACAATTTATATTTAAAACCAGTGTTATTGTAGTATTATTTCTATACAATTAGTGTTTTTGTTTTTATATTTTTAGATTATTTAAATTTTTTTGTAACAAATGTGTATTTTTTTTTCTTACCATACAATTATTGTTATTTTGTTTTAAGCGATGTAGTTCCTGTTAACTAAAATTGAAACTTTTAACAATCATTAAAAATAAAGCTAAAATAAAATCAATTATAAATATGAGAAAACTTGAACAAACTTTTTTAAATGTTGTCTTGGCAACTAATTGAAATAAAGCAAGTGTAAGTTCAAGTACTGAAATGAACTATTAATAAACTACTGTACATTAACTAATTAAATATAATAATTAAATAACAATAATAATAATGACCAGAGCACACAACAACATTAAAACTTATTAGATAAAAAACCATTAAAACATTAACATTACAACTTTTTACATAAAAAATAAAAATAAAAATAAATGTATCATTTTGTATATTTATTTATTTATCTAATTCTGAGTGTATTCTTATTTATTCCATTTGGATCTTTTAGGGAAGAATATGAAATTCCAATAGTAATACTTCAGGTTCACTTAGAATTCTGTAACACAACACCTGTAATGGTATGAAATCATTTGATCTTTTTGTTAGATATTTCAGACATCCACTCCGTGGCCTCCAATCATTCCAACCGATCCCACGACCGGAAGAGGAGCAGCCGCTCTCGTTCTCCGGACCGCCGCTCCGAGCCCTCGGACCACTCCAGACACTCTCCGCCACAGATCAGCAACGGCAGGTCAGATAGCCTTTCAGTTTTCCTCAGTTTCTTTGGTTGCTGCCACACAAGATATTTTAGTAAAAATGAAATCAGAGGTCTGATTCACGTGACACAAACGTACCACTTTTTGTAGCCAAATAATCTCCAAATAGTCTGTTTTTGAGGTTTTTCCCCCTCAATTTTTCGGTCCTCCTGTCTTTATAATATTCAACAGATTGAGTTGTATTTCAGCTTTTGGAGCTGGAGTTGCAGGCCTGCTCACCGCTGATATGAGAACAGCTTTGTGACAGGCATATGAGAGAAGCCTCTGTCAGACGGTACTGCAGCGCTTGACAAAATGCTCCTGTAACTTGGAAGTGTCCTAGATAGATAAACCGGGGTGTGACAGCGGTAGAGAATGGGAGAAATTTCATCTCCTAAATGAAACTGTAAATTTAAAGATGAAGTGTGTAATTTTTTCGGCGGTAAAATACATGGAAGCATCAGTAGGCGATTTGTAGGTTGATTTATGAAGAGACTAAACTCTCTTGAACAAAGAAAGCCGGCTCTGTTTCTTTGAGCGGCCCAATTCATAGCTTTCAGTCACGTGATGGGCTCGTAGACTTGGAGGGCAAAACATCCATAGAACTGCAGCAGAAGACTGTCAATTTTCCACGCCACAAATATTTAGATCACCTCTCAAAAGAATAAAACAAAGGTATGTGTGAACAAAATGCAAGTTTTGGCTATTTGCAATCCATATTAAAGGCACACTATGTAAGATTTTTTTTATTAAAATATCCAAAAACCACTAGAACAGTGTTATATATTTTGCTGACTTGTGTACTTACATTATCCCAAATGTTTCGAGGAATGTTTAAATCCAGAGAAATAAGCAATTTTAACTAGTGACACGGAGCGTGTCCATAGTGTCACCTGCCAATGACGTCATAACTCCTCGATTTCTGGTTTTGTAGAAAACATGGAAACACCAGACGCTTTAATATGTTGTGCGTTTTAATAGACCGATGACGACCGCACAGAGTAGCATTATAACAGAACTTTCAAATGTATCTAGTATGATAAAACAGCGCTGCTTTACCCCACATACGCATGACCGGAAGGAGCGGAAGCGGTCGACTGTGGCATAATAAAAGCTCCGCTGCTTTCGAGCCGTGTGTCGCGCTCGGTCAGCGGCCTGCTTCATTCTACTACATTAATAAATCATTAGCTCATCCATGAACATGATTTCTGCCCGAATCCCGTCGGATTGCATCGACTGTGGGGACCACAACTCCCATGATTCCACACTCGGTCACCCCGTCATCAAACTACGCCTTTGTTTCTTTGTTTATTTTGAATATGCGCCCTCTAGCGGCGAAAATTACATATTGTGCCTTTAAGCACCCACGGCAATATTTCGATCATTAAACAGTGACAAAACATTGTAAAAACACTTAAAGTGCCTTAATATATTTAAAACTGTAATATTAAAAGATCAAAATCAGTAATCACCATATTAATGATGCACAGTTTACATAGGCCAGCAGATGAGGCCGGGAATATGAACGCAATCCGCTTAATGGTTCAGTATTTTCCTTGTAATGGTTTTCTATGGGAAACAATTTAATGTGAAATTTTGCACGTTGTGTATTCATATTCACATTTATATTCTGGGTTCATCTGCTTGCATGTGCAAAATATACATCATCAATAAGGTGTTTACTGAATTTCGCCTTTTAATATCTGCGTTTTACTACTTTACTACTTAATGCAGTCAGCGTAAAAATAACTGGTGGTCAGTGGAGCAAAGCTTCGTTTTGCCCGCCAGGTGAGCGTTCCTATAAGGGGGTGACGTCACGTAAAAACTATCAATAGTCAGCTTTAGGGTTACTTACTGTTATTGAACAATTGCATCTAAGCAAATATTTTAGATGAAGAAATTACACACTTGCCACAAGCCAGATTTGAACACACACATGTTTGCAGATCCTCAGGTGTGTGAGTGTTCATGAAGTTTCTTCTGATTCTTGTTTTGAATCAGGGCCGCCGGGCCGACGGCTCAGAGAACCTGGCCAGTGTAAGTGTTTGGGTCCGGTTAACGCAGCGTCCCGAACGAACTAATGCTTTTGTGAGCTTTGCACTTAAGCATGTGACATGGGAGCTTCTCAAAGTTGTGTAACCCAATGTGTGTGTAGTGTGCTGAAATGGTGTTCTTGTTTTACCTGAACTACTTGACGTGTTCATTTCATCATCCCAACATCTCTCACCTCTGGCTGAAGCCCAACAAACCAACTTGGGCGCAGGAAATTCATTGGTTTGTATGCCCAATCCCAGCATGCATCTGTGACATCAAACATATCCCTTCATTCTCATTTCTCATGTAAATTCAAAGAACTGGTCTCGGCTGTGTGTTACCTCTTTTCTGCTGAGTGAAAACTGAAATAGGGGTGCCTGTCGAAAAAACGTACACACACACACACACATAAAGGTCTGCTGCTGTCAGTTTGGCAGTGCAGGCGGAAACATGCTGCTTTTAACATCGTTTGTAGTAGTTCCTCTGCCTCAGAGAGTTCTCGGTAATACTGGCACATCTGCTCAGCCAACCATCCTTGAAAGCCGTCCAGTAGGATTGAAGCACCACCTGCCCGGTGTGTGAAGAGTCACAAAAAATTGGAATCTGTGAAGGCAGAGGCTGCTTCCTGAAATCTTAGGCAGCTGCCTTTTTGCCCATCAGTCCAGCTAGATTGTGATTTGAAAACTTTTTTGTGGTATGGATGTCATCACTGAATTCCTGGTTTAGGAACCAATGGGTTTAATGGACTGGAACCTTTTGAGGAGCCAATTTTTATGTCCCCAATCCAATTTTTCTTTGGTGGAAATGTAAAATGGTGCCACAATGGGTATGGCACTGTGCTAACAAAATACGTTCTAAAAAGTTTTAACAAACATTCTATTAACGTTACTGGAAGACGTTTGTTCAACTTTGAGAAAACCTTGCTAGAACGTTTTTAGAACATTCCCTGGTAGATGGGATGTTTGAGAACATGCAGCAAAATTTCCTGTCACACTGAGAACATAAGAGAAAATACCTGCATATACATCAAAATAGATTAATATTTTTGCCTGTCTGCTACCTCCCATGTCACAAAGTTGGGTCTGTTGGCGTTCTTATGGCGCTGATTTTCAGAGTGATTAGTCACATGGCATTTGCTGAACAACTGCCATTGAGAAGTATTGTACATCTCCACTTTGTTTTAACCTTGTAAGAGTGAGAGCGAGATCCAACATTTTTCTACTTGCTCTTTCGAAGTTGATTTTACCAGCCTGGTTCCGGATTGTCAATCTGCTAACTAAGGAGAAAAAGACTGTGTGTTTTAAGATGTCCTGCCAAGTTCTTCCCTCCCTTTTCTCTTTCATTTGAAAACTAGAGAATCACACCAGTGTTTTGAAACCGGTGCATTGCAAAATAAGTAGGATCAACTCCTGAAAGAGAGAAAAAAATATCTATACAACATCCAGTCAGACCAATGTTTTGGCACAAATTCATTGGGCACTTGGATGCAAACCAAATTAGGCAGATGCCAACATGTGCATGCTCTCACTCTCAAAACTAGTAATATTTATATATTTTAATGGGCCCTTTTTTTTTTTAGTTTTGTATGAAATTAAAAATCGGCACTGTTAGGTCGGCACTAAATTCCAATGTAAAATTTGGGTCCTGATGCAAAACCAGTTGGGGAGTTTCTGAATTACACAACTTATTGTAGATCAAAAAGCTCTTCACATTCCCGTACCAGAATGTAATAGTTCTTTGAAATAGTGCTGCCCTCCTCAGCAATGACTTTTTCTCTCGTAGTCGGTTTTATGGATCATAGGATCCGTAAAGACCATCGAGCGGACAGTGATGGCTTTAATGCTTTGAAGTATAGTGCGTTATGCCACACACTTATCCTCAATGTCATCAGCCAAAGCTTTTTATTGAGCCACACCGTAATTGCTGGAAAAGATATTCGTCATTGTCATGAATAAAACAGGACCACATGTGGCGGCCCGGCCCTGCAGAGATGGACCGTTTCTGCAGTCCGTGGATGTCAGCCGCTGTTGTTTACTGTGACGATAAAGGTCACGGGCCGGACCCGTCATCTTTGGCCACGTGCCGATTTTTGGAGTGCATCAATGGCGGTGGTGCACCTGGAGTCCTTTTCTCTTCCCGTCTTTCTCTCTCTCTTTCTGTCTCTGTCTCCTCCATTACTTCAGATCAGATGGGCTGCGCTAAATATAGTCCAACAAAGGAGTTGCAAAGCACAGCTGTGACCTTCAAGACTACCTAGCTGCCCTAGCCACACAACGTCCTCCCTCTCTCCACATCTACCTCGCTCTCATCTGCCATTTGTCTTTCAGTGTAAACAGTGTTTTATGGGTTGTGTGCTTAGGCTTGATAGTGTGGAAAAAGCAGTGTTGTTTTTGGTTGTTTTGCTGAGAGCAGAGCATGCATTAATCATCAAAAGCTTTAACCGAACAGCACAAAAGCTAATTTCATTCCACACTGTACCGTATATTTTTTAGTGTCCTGTATATAGGTGTATTATTGATTGTACTTTCACTTACAGCCTGAAACATACTCTCCCAAGTACGTGAATTAGCGATGGGCGCTTTCGAAACACTGCTTTGTGAAGTTTCGAAACCTTTGCAAATCATTTGTTTTTCATTAATGTTTCGAAGCATGTTGCAAACTGTCAAAGTCACATTATTTTAGTAAATGAGGCTTCGTTATGTCATAACTCTTTCAAAATGCTTCGAAATTTTGGTGGCTCACCGCTAGCGTGTGGTTTGTTGTATTTACACCATTCTGACCAGCAGGTGTCACCTTTGAAGACCGTGAATCCTTTTTATAAGCAATTGGTGCAATTGATTCAAAGTTTTGAAAAGCTTTGTTTCTCCCATTGCATTCTCAGCGTCGCCACAAGGGACACTATAATGGACATTCGCGTAAAACGTCAGTTTTCTCTTCCAGGTTGACTACTGTCATGACGAGAACAACATATTGAAAATCTCGTGGAGCTAGTTAAATTTGACTCAGGTTTAATAGCACAGATATGATCGTGACTCTATCGCCCCCTAGAGTACTTGGGTTTGTTACCGCCAAAATAATGCAAGGTCGCGTATTAAGTAACCAAGCCACATTTTTTCGTTCACCAAGCATTCACATCTGCGTTTGGGTACTTGTGTTGAGAATGTTTCTGGCCTTAAGAGGAAATTTTTTTCATTTTCAACGTATATATTCGATATGCCTGATTCATTTGAGCACGTTTTATGCTGTTTGTTTCAAATCAATCGGTTAAAAAAAATATTTTTTTTCGGTTGTCAATCGGTTGTTCAGTGAGCCAAAAGACAAAAAACGCTCATTCACTGGTTTGTTTCTGTTATCACTCACAAGCTTTCCAGTAGTGTCTATATCCGTTTTTGTGAGAAAATAAGTATTTAGTTAAATACGACTTTAACAGTGTTGCTGGTTATGATAATTTAAGTTGTTTTGTACAATGCATAAGCGTTAGTGACATCAATTTGGAAAATCATGTTAGCAGTTTGGTTCATCCAGACTGTTACAATTACTTTTTCAAAAGACTGATTCATCGATTATCATTCAAAATCGATTCATTCAAAAGGGAAAAAGTCAATATTATTGTCATAAGTTATGCAAATTTGTGTTCTTTAGAAGTATATAATTTAAATAATATATATGTTTGAGTTTAATGCTGTCATGATCCTAATTGTCTTAGAGACTTTTATGACTGTTAAGTTGAAAAATCATTCTAAGAATTCAAGTTTTGCGTTGCTTATGTTTCAAACATATCACTACCCTGAATGTTTTACTTCCAAACGAACTTCTCACACACAATCCACTGATTTAAAATGCATTGCAAATCGGTTTGACCAAATCATTCAAAGACCGATTCGTTCACAGATTTACTACAGTAAATCATAACAAGACCAATGTTTAATGTGTGTGATTCTAACAGCTTTGCTTTGTGTTGTCCTTTTTCTTCACCCGCAGTCACCGAAGCCATGATGAAGACAGGGTCTCAAAGGCTGGGCCGCTTCCCGTACCTGCTAAGATGGTGGAGGAGATGCCGAAAGAGCAGACTGCAGCCAGAGAAGAGAAACAGCTCCCCCCTCTGCCAGGTCAGAGGTCACTACACACGAACACACTGTGATCGAACATACATTACTCTCAGCCTGGGTTTGTGCTCAGGCGGTGACGAGCAGCGGGAGTTTGTCAGTTGTGACAGTGTCTTCACACCTGCTCCGTCCTGCTGGGCGTCTCTGTGACCTCCCAGAGCGCGACATGCTCCTGTGGTGACATTTTTGTGTGTGCGCGTGTATTTTACTGAAATACTCAATGTGCTTTGATCTCCTCAGAGCCCAAGCCTGTGTACGCTCAACCTGGCCAGCCTGACGTGGACCTGCCTGTTAGTCCGGCAGATGCCCCAGTGCCCAGCGTTACGCACGATGACAGCATCTTACGGTGCGCCTCACTAACTTTCCCCAAACTCAATGTTTTAGAGAGATTGAGAATGAAATGTCCTAGAAGTCCTTATGTTTGTGTGTCCACCCTCAGGCCGAGCATGAAGCTGGTGAAGTTTAAGAAGGGCGAGAGCGTGGGGCTGAGACTCGCTGGTGGGAATGACGTTGGGATATTTGTGGCGGGAGTTTTGGAGGACAGTCCTGCTGCTAAAGAGGGCCTGGAGGAGGGAGACCAGATTCTCAGGGTGAGACGACCATGTTTTGATTCACTGTAACCACTTCACTGATTAATTAATGCAACTTCCGTCTAAAAGCTGTTTATATAGGCAGCTACATATAAAGGGCACTTTGACAGCGATGAATTCATCAGGTTGCTAGCAATCCACCAATCAGAGCAGTCAGTGTTACTGTGGAAGCGAGAGCTCTGGCAAAAGAACTCGACAGTGACCACATACTCCCATGAATTATTGCAGTTTCACTCTTAAATAGCTTATGTATTAGTATATAAATGAATATTTTGGATTCATGGTCAGTAGTATAATTTTGAGCTTCTGTTTCTGATTTGATTGATTTCTGATTCGATTTGCGGTGCTTCATGGGATGTGTAGTTCAGTGGTTATGTTGTCTGTTTAACAATTAAAAATATTTTTTTCGTTTCAGATGTTGCATTGATTCAACTTGGAGCTGTTTAGTTTGATTTACGTCTCCTTACTAGTTTTTTTCTTTAATGCTTAAAATAAATAGAATTCTGGAACTATTTTTATAATAACTAGTCTTTATAATAATATACATTTTTGTAATATGCACAAAAATATATTAAAATACACAATAATATTTGGTTAAATAATTTTTTTAAAGTATTTTAGTATTGTTTATTTTTATATTTTCATTTTTATTTAACTTTTAGTTGAAGATTTAGTATTTTTGTTAGTTTTTTTTTTTTTTTTAATTCTATTTAGTTCTTATTAATGTTTATTTCCATTTTAGTTTAGTTATTTTAGTTAAGTTAAACTAGCTGAATAGAGTTTAAGTTTTTTAATATATTATTTTGGTTAATGTTTATTTCAATTAACAATTTTTTATGGTTTCCATTTTAGTTAGCTAAAATAACTCTGGGCTGATCTCTCGATTTTCTCTAGATACATTTTTAACAAATTTCATTTATTTATAATGTACACTCCCTTCGACAGTTTTTGCCAACAAGGTATCTAATAAGGCAGCATAATTTGCTGCCCATTATTTGGAACCGGCTTCTGGTCAGGCAGCCCAGAGATGCCTAAAAATGTTGCTTAGGAAGTTGCTTTATGTTCTTCATGCTAATGATGTGTGTGTGAGAATGGGCATTTCTGTCTGGTGTTGATACCTGCTTGGTTTATGCTCAAGTCATTTCATCTCTTACAGTTTCTCAGCAGTTGAGCCTGAAGATGTTTGTGGTGGCGTTTAGCTGTTGTGATGAATAACTCGAGTGGGACTCTTAAAGGCCTGTGGGTGAAGGGAGATTTGGTGTCCCGGCTTTTATAACCTTCTGTTTACGGGCTCTTTAATGGCAGTCCTAGTTTTATGGCGGTTCGCACTTCCAAAATGTCCCTCTCGTGCTGTTTAGATGCTGTTAAACCTCAGTGTGTGTGAAGATGCTTGCTTCTCTCAGGATGGTTTCCGTGGTGACGTTGGTTTCCATCTCCTTTCTGCCAAACGCAGCCTCTTTCTCTTCCTCTCTGGGTTTTTCCAACGTGTCTATTCTTTATTCAGAGCATTTGTCACCTTCCCTTTCTCACAAACCTGACCACACAGTCACACTTTTTCATAAACTTGTCTTGAAACTTTCCTCTCATTCGTTAGACCCCTTTAGAGAGGAGTTTTTGTTCTAAATGGCTTTTCTTTAAACCCTCCCCAGGTAAACAATGTGGATTTTGCAAACATCATCCGCGAGGAGGCAGTGCTGTTTCTGCTGGACCTGCCCAAAGGAGAGGAGGTCACCATCCTGGCCCAGAAAAAGACAGATGGTGAGGATATGTCACCTCTTAAAATTGAATATGAATCCCTGTTCGTAAACCATTAAGACATATCATCAGAAGTGTCCCTCGCACAGTCCATAAGTAAACTCACGTCTTTGTACTTTCCTTACGCATTTCTGCCAGTTTGCGCTATGCCAAACTAGAAGTATTAGAAATATCTCACTTGCTGATAGGAAATTAAATATATATTGTAATATCTAGCTAATCAAAAGAGCTTCTTTTAGCACCTGATCAAAAACAAATGTGTTATCCTGATATCTCGTTCAAGCTACTTGAAATAGCTTTTCTTAAGTTAGCTGACTGAAAACACAAAAAGGGAAATGTTTAATTGGACCGTTTTAGCTTCGTAACATGCGGAAGGGCGAGGAGATTCTGGGGAGAGATAGAATCTTGTACAACATTATATTATGAAAGTAAAAAAATTCAACCTAAAGAATAAACCACCCTTACCTGATTCCACCAAGCTGGTTTCTGCTGGTCAGACTGATCTGGTTCTTAATGATTTTAAAGGGATTTTGGACACTTGTCAGACTTGTCAGTCTGATAAACTAAACCAGATAAGACCAGCAAAACACCTTAAACTGTTTTAAGCTTTTTATCAGAAATGCAAAATAATAATGCCGTCAGTCTCTTTGCTTCCCAGTATACCGGCGCATTGTAGAGTCCGACGTAGGTGACTCGTTCTACATCAGGACCCATTTTGAGTACGAGAAGGAGTCACCCTACGGCCTGAGCTTCAATAAGGGGGAGGTCTTCCGAGTGGTCGACACCCTTTACAACGGCAAACTGGGCTCTTGGCTCGCCATCCGCATCGGCAAGAACCACCAAGAGGTGGAACGGGGCATCATCCCCAACAAGAATAGGTACAGAAGCCATTTGTACTAGTTTGCATTGAGTCATGTGTTTAATATGTAGAGTTGTTGAAGTTAGAGCTGTTGTTTTGTGTTCTCTGCAGGGCTGAGCAGTTATCGAGTGTCCAATACACTCTCCCAAAGACTCCAGGAGGGGATCGGGCTGATTTCTGGAGGTTCAGAGGCCTCCGTAGCTCCAAACGCAACCTGAGGAAAAGCAGAGAGGACCTTTCTGCACAACCCGTCCAAACAAAGTTCCCCGCCTATGAAAGAGTGGTGCTTCGAGAAGGTAGGCTGTTTGTAGACCTGCTTTTAGTTGCTATGGTTATTTCAGGTTTGAGCTATTTTTGAAGCTTAGCTAATAATTTTCAGTTTGTCTGTGGATGTTTGCAGGAAATAGTCTGATAGACTTGCATTGAAGGACAATGTTTTGTAGATATCTAGTTAACCTGTTGTTTCTCCTGCTTAAAAAGCTGGGTTTTTGAGGCCGGTGGTCATTTTTGGGCCTATTGCGGATGTTGCAAGAGAGAAACTGTCCAGAGAGGGTCCTGACCTCTTTGAACTTGCAAGTAAGTTCTGCGTAACGAGATTTTTCGTTTTTTCTTATGTTAAGAAGGTATAAAACATCTTTTTCTCCTTCCCTCAGAGAGTGAACCCAGAGACGCAGGCACAGACCAGCGCAGCTCTGGAATCATCCGTCTCCATACCATTAAACAGATCATTGACCGGGTGAGTATGGACTCGGATAATTTAGTTAACTGCCATTCCATCTGCTCAGCTCGTGAGCGTAGACTCACAGACTCTGCAAAGACCCAGCTGGTGTCTCATGATTCTGTTTGTGCTGCTAGGACAAGCATGCCGTGCTGGACATCACCCCCAATGCGGTGGATCGTCTGAATTACGCTCAGTGGTACCCCATCGTGGTGTTCCTGAATCCCGACAGCAAGCAGGGTGTCAAGAACATGAGGACCAGGCTCTGTCCCGAGTCCAGGAAGAGCGCCCGGAAGCTGTATGAGCGTGCTCTCAAACTGAGAAAGAACAACCATCACCTCTTCACCAGTGAGTAGACCCAAACATCAAAATAATATCATTAGTCTCATGTTGTTACAAAACTGTGTTAGACTTTCTTTAGTCCATGGAACACAAAAGGAGCAATTTTGAAGCATGTCCAGAACAATCTAGTTCTTATAATGAATGAGAACTTTTGCAAGCTACAAAAGTACCATAAAAGTTGTTTTAAAGGCAAGTACCACTTGTGGTGTATTTGTAGTTAAGTAAATTGCGGCTCTACTTCCTTTTAGCCACCATCAACTTAAACAACATGAACGATGGGTGGTATGGCGCTTTGAAAGAGACCACCCAGCAGCAGCAGAACCAGTTGGTCTGGGTCTCAGAGGGCAAGGTAAGCTTCTCTAGTTTTGTGGCTTGATGTCCAAATGTTTCTTATTTGTCTAGAGCCCCACCCCCCATTTATGAGTCGACACAACACTGCTCTCTGGAATACTTGATTCTTATTGATCAGTCGTGGTCGTTGGTTAAATATTTTGCTATAGTTACACTGTGATTGAATAAATAATAATTATATACCTGTAATAAGTGGTTGAGCTATATATTGCCAAGGCCAATATATCGAACGATGCTTTGTTTTTTTGGTTTTGTTTTGTTTTTTTCTCATTTTATTTATGGGCATCGGCCTTTAATTTTTTCTTTTTGTTGTTGGAAGAAGGACTTTTCTGTCCTGCCAATGCCTCAATAAAAAAATAATTACATAACTGTAATTGTAATTAGTGGTTGACCTATATATTGCTACGGCCACTTGCATTTTTTTATGTATTGCCATTGGGCTCTATGGTTTTTTGTTTGGTTGAGTTTCTTTTATTATGACAGCACTAAAAAATAAATAATTAGATATCTGTAGTTATAATTGGTGGTCGACTATTATATCAGCAAGGCCAAATATATTGACTGACATTTTCTTTTTTTAATTATCAGCATTTGCCTTTTGAGTTTTTCTGTTTGCCCAATAAGTGTCAGAACTTTTATTTTGACATCACTAAAACAGCCAATGGCTGAATGAATAATGACTATATAAATGCATATGTAATCCTATATATCAACAAGGCTGTTTGAAATTGTATAATTATTGGCATTTGATGATCGGTATTTATGTTTGTCAGAGTTGTCAGAAGAATTTGGCTTTCTATTATTAGTAAACTGTATAACTGAATAAATAATAATTATATAACCATAGTTAAAATTTAAAAACTAAATAAATCTGAATATTGCTCTCAGCCGATATATATCTGATACAATAAACAAAAAGTCTAATATCAGCTGATAACCGATATCGAACAAATATATTGTGTATGCCTAAAATCTCTGCTTAAAACAATATTTACTGTATTGAAAAAACTTTTAAGACCAAAAAAAAGCTGAGCTATTTCTGCTTTTACACGGTTACAGACCAAGCGTTTGATATGCATTAGTTTACACTCTCACCCATCCATCATTTCATTTCCACTGCTGTGGGCCATCAAACTCATCCTAACCGTCCCTCCCTCCCCCTCTCCACATGCAGGCAGATGGCGCTCCTGACGATGACCTTGACATCCACGACGACCGCCTCTCCTACCTCTCGGCACCGGGCAGTGAGTACAGCATGTACAGCACCGACAGCCGCCACACTTCTGACTACGAGGACACCGATACGGAGGGCGGGGCCTACACCGACCAGGAGCTGGATGAGACCATGAACGATGAGGTGGGCCTACCCAGCGAGCCTGCCATCACACGCTCATCTGAACCTGTCCGAGAGGACCCGCCGGTCATCCAGGACGCAACTGGGTACCCGAGCTACCAGCATGCTGTGCCGCAACCGGAGCCAGTTAATCGCATCGACCCGGCCGGGTTTAAGATGGCAGCGCCTCAGCAGGTACAGAATATGAGTACCATTATGTGTGTGTGTTGGTTACTTTTACTCTTTACTTCATTGGAACTTCTGTAAAGGTTTATGTGGGTCATTTCAGCTATGCAGTGCTCTAACTTTTAAAAGATGAATATGCTTGTGTTGTAATTTAATGATGTTATAATCTTAAAATGTAGTATTTCTATAAATGATGCTCAGGCACTTAATTAAAATACAAATTATTACCTATTCACATACTGGCAAGAAAAATATAAGATGGAACCTGACAAGATGAAAATAAGAATCTAAAGTTAGCCATTGTTTAGTGAGGAGAGTTAGCTTACGTAAGGGTGTCTGCTTGGGAGGTTTTTATTTATTTTATTGTTTTGTATCAATCTATCTATCTATCTATCTATCTGTCTACAACCCTCTACATTGCGAGTAAATCACTCGCATATGCGACTAAATCTTCACTCTGGGCGACTAAATGATGTCTAATATTAGCCAATGGCTAATATATTCTCAGATTTTACTCGTCAGTGTGTGAGTTGGAGGCTGAATATATGATTAGCACAGATATATTTTCACTCGCCGAACACTCTCTTACTGAGTGCTTCAGAGTTTCACTCTCCGCCAAGCGATCTGTGCTGTTTTTCAGTTCATCTGAATGGACGTGCAACGCACCTGTATTTAACGTACCGTAAACTCTAGTGTGAAGGCGCACGACTCGCCATCGCTTTGTTTCACACACACACGCAGCGAGAGAGGGAGAGAGAGAATTGACGTGCTACCTATGCGCGCTACATGTAAACGATATTATTTGTTGTATTTTGCTGTCAAAATAATGGAGTTCCTTTGGAATTCTTCAGCTTTTAAGAACTACCGCTTTCTCCGGTAGTGGGCGGAACTAATGCGCAAACGGCAATCTCATTGGCTGGCGCTCACCTATTATCGTCCCTGTTTTGATTTCAGCAAATCAGTTCGAGCGAACGCACACAACCTGATTAATATTCATGAATCCAGTAGCTCATTAATCCTTGTTGCTTTTTATATTGTTCTTATTAGTATAATTCATATCATTATTATCTTATCAGTATTTTTGTTAGTTTTCCCCCAATTTTTTATTTTTATACAGAAACACTGACTGACCAAAACAGCAACACCACCAGTCCTAAGTTCAGTTAAAATGACTAATATGCGTTCATACATGGTTATCAAGTTTTAATTCTAATTACTAAAGTTCTACCATTAAATAATATTGATTATCATATTATAATGCTTGACTGACTGATGTTAAGCCTGTACTTTCAAATATTTATAAAACTGTGCCATTTTACAAACAAACAAATATATATATTTATTTATTTATCAGTCTGGCGAGTAAACTAAACAATTTACTAGCCAATGGCGATTCAATTCAATTTTTTTTTTTTTACGATTTTGTTTTTAAACATTATACTCCTTTTTCTTTTTATCACACAAAATGTAATGATTCAAGTCAGACCACAAAAAAAATCACAAAATTATATAAAATCTGTTGTTAATGCTTGCTGATGTTTGTGCAGATGTCACTTCCTGCAGAAATATGACATTAAGGAATTGGCTTTTATTAGTTAAAGGGATAAAGTTAGTCTTTAGGGCTTTGTTAGTTATTAAAGGGGTCATATGAGGCGATTTCAAGTTTTCCTTTCTCTTTGGAGCGTTACAAGCTGATTGTGCATAGATAAGATCCCTGAAGTTGCAAAGACTAAAGTCACAAACCCAAAGAGATATTCTTTATCAAAGTTAAGACTCTGCCACGCCCCCCTAAAACGGCTAGTTCTAACACGCCCCCACATATCTACCTCACTATGTGGAAATATTAGCATAATGCCGCCCAAATGTGCACGCAAAGAAAGAAGGCGTGGTTTCAGTAACCGCAGTTAGTGTTGAAGCAGCATGTCAGGGAGACGCTGTGTGTTTCTAGGTGAAAGCAAAATCACTTTATTTGGCCTTCCAGAAGTAGATGCATTTAGGAATCTTTAAGATCACTTACAACAGAACAGCAATGCATTTTATGGACGACCGTTTCGTGAACCTAGGAGAGGAGGTCATTCTGACTTTGCTATGACAATCTGGCGCTTCTGAATCAGCTACTGTTTTGTTATTAGTTTAAGTATTTGATATTGACTGTTCAAATGCGGAGTTTTGTGCATCGTGTGTGTGTGTGTGTGTGCGCGCGCGCACTTTTACTGTCTTTACATTTATTTTGAAAGAAGAAGCTCGCGATTATGGTAAGGGGAGTTACATTTCCGACGAGTGCTTGCGGTGTTTGGCCAATCACAATGCACTGGGTCAGCTGGCCAATCAGAGCAGACTGCGCTTGTCAGAAATAGGAACTTTGTAGAAAACGAAGCGTTTGAGAGAGGCGAGGCATAGAGAACCTACAATAATGTACAGTATTTGAAAAATAATGTGTTTTTTGAACATTAAAGCATGTCAACATATTCCGTTCCACCAAATACACAAAATAATGATCTTTAAAAAAGCATCATATGACCCCTTTAAGATATACAGAAGACTGACAGGATGAAAGTTAAACTGGAGGACACAGGGAAAGTTGAGCGGATATATCACATTCTGCAGAGAAGGGAGACTGGGGTTTGTCGCGGTTTGGAAAGAAAGGGAGAAAACATGACAGAATAACTCGGCGGATATCACATTTTGAGTCAAATAAAAAATTTACTTTTCAATACCAACCAGATACAATACTGATTTTGGCGGAAACTCAATTTTATTAAAAATGGCGTTTATCACGTTTTGGAACCAAACTCTTCATATATATCAGAATGTACTGCATAGTAGAAATTACCATATAACTCAACAAAAACCATTTTCCTTCCTTTGGTGCATTATCTGAAATGTAAACCTGTATTTCCTGCACTAATAACATTTTAAACTGCATATGCAACAGGACTTGACCACTACCTAGTTTCTGCTTCCTGTAAAGCTAAAGACACTATTTTATTCAAAAGCACACTTAAGTTTGTATGAGCAGGTGATATTCTTTACCAGACAAACTCTTATTTAGCTTTCAGTAGCTACCAGTTAATCTGGTTAAGGATGCTTTGGTGGTCGTAGCTGCTAGTTGTAGCTGGTGCTGTCTGTAACCTCTTTGCCCCATACTCCACAGCAAGCAGAGGCTGCTCTGGCCTCACCGCCCCCTCCCTCTGCAGCGGCAGCAGCGCCCCCTGCTGTCCAACCCACCACGCCTCTAGCGGGTACGAACCCAGAGGAGCCGTCTGGCACCCCTCAGGCCGACTCCCTTAACAGCCCCGTCCCCGTTCCCGACCCCCAGCCCGAACCTGAGCTCACTCAGCTCCCAACACATGACCCCCACCAGTTGCTTCCTCCTGGCCCAGATCCAAAGGTACCAGCACCACCGGAAGCTGGACCTGCTCCCGGCCCGGTTCAGCCCAGCTCTCTCTTTCTCAACCTTGCCTGTGTCTATCACGTTTTTCTTTGACTCCTCCCACTCCACTGTCTGCATGAATGCTCCGCCCACCCCACACGTGTGCTGCGTGTGTTCCTCTGACACTACGGCAGTGACTGTGTAACTGGTACACATGCACCACAGGAGGACGAGGACCCGTTGCATAAGTAGAAGTGCAGTCTCCTCACATGTTGCCTCGTACTTCCTCTTGCATGGCTCCTAATTTATGACTTTCTTTCAGCTTGTTCTGTCTGTAGTAGGGCTGGGCGATATATTGCATCGTCATGAATGTGATGGCTATTTGAAATGGTGCACCTTTGCGAATCTGTGACTGTTTTACTGCACTTTTTATTTGGCCGCTATATTTACTGACTTTTTTTCTTGCAATTCTGCTTTTATATCTTGCAGTTGTGAGTTTGTATTTCTTTCGCAATCCTGAGTTTGTCTCTCAAATATAAACTCAGAATTGGGAGGAAAAAGTCCAAATTGTGAGAGATGAACTTTAATCTCTCAGAATTGCGAGAAAAAAATTGTCCAGAATTGTGAGATTTAGACTCGTAAATTTAAGATATTAATGCAAAATTGTAGGAGGAAGTGTGGGATATAAATTCAGAATTGAGAGAACTTGGAATTGTGAGAAAGTACAAATTGGGAGTTTCAAAAGTCGCAATGACCTTTTTAATTTTTTTATTCCGTGGTGTCAAAAAAAAACAAATGAAAGATGTAAACTCAGAATTCTGAGAAAAATAAGTAATCTTTAGAATCTATAGAAACATAATTTGAACTGTAGATATCAGAATTGCAAAAAATTATTTTTGCAATTATTTTGCAAATTATTATTTTATTTTGTTATTTTTATTCTGTAGTATGAACAGGCTTCCATAGAAAAGTCTGAATTTTGTCCACAAATTTTTTTTGTAAACTTTCCATCATTGTCTTGCGACCCATGAGAGCATTAAGACAAAGGTATTTTAATAGCACCATTAACAACATTAAAGATGAAAGATTATTAGGTTTTAATTGTGTAATTACGTTTTAAGAATTCGAGTCATAAAAATTTGAATCATTTCCATTAATCAGTACAAACAGTCCACTGTAAGTAGTCAGTTCATAACTGATTCAGTGATTCATCACTTAAAATTTTCACATTTTTATAATACATATTTTTTAAATATATTAAAATGCTTTAGTAAAATTATGCATATTATATCATTTATTTTCTTGTATATCATTATTGTTTGCATCAACAATTTTCATTGGAATATTTTCTCCCATATTATTTTTTTTTTTATGTATTATTTTATTAGTGCAAATCACTAGAAATAATTCTTCGTTTTATTTATTGAAAAACTGAAACCTTGATTATTTTCACTGCATTTCTTCTTTAATTAATCATTTTGAACGTACTGTGCTGTTTGATGTAAACAATGGATCCTCAGAGCAAATGCATATATATACAGGTGCATCTCAATAAATTAGAATATCATGGAAAAGTTCATGATACTTTTATAGCATTTAAAATGAACCAATAACTAATCAAACCAATCAATAACTTATACAAACACTCTCATAAAGAATATTCAACACTTTTAAGAGTAAATATTTAATACTGCCAGTGTCTAAGTAGTAATCACACATATATAATATAGGATACTTATAGGATATATATATATATATATATATTGTAAACTCATAAGACTGGGGGGAAAAAATAAACAATTTTCAAGCTGTATCGCCTGGCCCTAATCTGTAGTGATAGCCGTGACGGTAGCGTTTGGCTTTGACCCGAATCACACCTGTACAGACGGCCGCTAGATGCACTGTAGACGTGTCACTTAATTGCAAACAGACCTTTCCCTGATTTGCAAGAATGGATTTCTGTAGTTGCATGTTCATTTAACCTGCAGACAGTACTTACAGCAATGTAAAAGAAAAACATCTGGACTAATCCTGCATAATGTCTTCATAACCGATGTTTCTTTTCATAGATGAAGACGTTATGTAAGAGCTTCTGTGATTATGTTAAGTTGTCTTATAGGAGGCATTGGACCTTTTACAGCTCTACTGTCTTCAGGCTATACTTTGAAGCTTGAGAAGGAGCCTTTCCAACAATGAATAAGACATCCTTAAAGCTCCACTTGGACCTATTATACATTTATTAGATTTTACTAAAGATGAGGAATCAAAGAAGTGTAACCAAGTGGAGGTGCTGTACATGTTGAAGGGCTTCTTATCAAACTTTAGAAATGTAGAGCTGAGTAGCAAGTTGGTAAGATGCTCGTTTTATTGCATAATGAATTAGTTATTAATGGGGTTTTTTCTGCTCAGGATTTAGTTTAATTTCAGTGCTTGCAAGGCACCACCATATTTATATATCAAACATTCGTATAATGCCATAATTAATAATTGAGCACCAATAATGATCATAATTAAGCATCAAATCAGCATATTAGCATAATTTCTGAAGGATCATGTGACACTGAAGACTGGAATAATGCTGAAAATTTGCTTTGCATCACAGGAATTAATTACATTTCGAAATGTATTCAAATATAAAAAAAATTTATATCACTATTTTTCCTTTATTTATGCTCAAATAAATCTAATCATGGTTATCATAAGAGACTTCTTTAAAGTCCCCCTGTAGTCAAATATTTTATCCCTTAAAATGTATCTTTGATCATCAAAATTACATATTTAAATGTTTTTTCTTGTGAAAATAATTTTCTCATTCCTTAAAATAGCTTGAATATAACTCTACACCCTTGCCTCATTTACTATACGCGGATCTATGAATATGCAAATTAGTCCCGCCTCCACTCAGTAAATAAAACTGTTTTTACTAGCGGACAACTACAGTGAATACTGTAACATTCGTTAAAGTTACGTACTTGACGATGTTGTGTCCTAAAATGCCTTGAAGACCCGAATGCAGCCGTTTGTGATTGTTAATTCGTGCCCGCGAGCAAACGCATGTGAAGTGCAGACGCAGCTGCGGGAGAGGTGGGTCTGACTCCGGGCTACTTTTACACTGTTGCCACGGGTTAATAGTGCAAGTTAGAGGTTCTAAATTCACATTAAACCACAGCTTCATGGGTTTTTTGGTCTGATTTATTTTTGGTTTTGTGCTGGTATTGGTATATTTTGCATGCTAGTGATAGGAATCAATCCCTTGACGTGATTGGTTATTGGTTTGTGACGTAGCAAACCGAGGCCCCTTTCAAACCGTACTTCTGGGTCAGTCTTTGGGAAACTACAGTTTTAAGGAGAAAATACTCCGCAATGGTGTTGATTAATAGATTGGCACATGGTTTGTCTAAAGGCATATTAAAAACACCACATAGACAAATAAACAACATAAAAAACTTGATTTTCACTACAGGGGGACTTTAAACTAAATAAAACAAAACAAAAATCACAATTATTAGTAGTGTGTGTGTGTATATATATATATATATATAGAGAGAGAGAGAGAGAGAGAGAGAGAGAGAGAATTA